CACCGTTGAGGAATGCAGGCGATTTCTTTGTTAAGACTGTGTTATTCCATTTGTTTTAATAATTATTATTTTTGTAACGTTATTTTAATATTAATAAACTTCATACGTAAAATAAACATTTAATTATTTGTGTAGTTTACATAGTGTATACTCTTTCCTAAAAATTGTAAATATTGTTGAAATGGATTTTGAAAAAATAAATGTTAAGTGCCATTTTGATGTTATGTTTACAAAAAAGTAGGTATTAAATTATAACTCCCACATTTAAGTAAATAATAAACACATTCCAAAGATACATGCTTATTTTGTTACCAGTTCTAAGCAATATCACATGGAGAGATCTTCTAATTGCAATAAAATGTGAATCTTACAAGGCAAATTGATGAAAAGGGTAGGTACAAAAATGATCTGTAAACCTATACCTATATGAATAAGTGTTTTAATAAACTTTTTATTAAATATAAACGCAGAGGATTGTTTTCAATAAATTCATTAACTTATACAACTTTAATCATTTACAAAATAAAGGAAAGGTTTGTAGGTGTAGCTACACACAGATTGATAAAGAAAAACGAAGGAAAGGTAGGTCTTTTCAAGTATGGAAATTTTATTAGTATTCGCCAAGAGTTTGTATTATATATGTAAAAAAAGAACAAATTATCAATCAATCTATTCTCGTTTACATTTTTTATATTATACGGATGATGTCTTAACAGCCGAACTGTAGAGTTGCGTAGTTCATGAACGAACTAGTTCAAAGAGCCGTTCCAGAACTATGAACTAACTGAACTAGTTCGTTTCGATCGGTCACAGCTCAGGGACGAGCGTCGCCTTCGGGTGAGTCGGTTCTTCCGAGCTGAACAGAGTTGCTGCCGTCTTATGTAGAGGTGGGCTTTAACCGCTTAGAATAATTTGATGCACTCGGTTTGTTGTTGAATCTGGGAATCACCAGAGGTATTTACTTTGCTAATAAATTAGGATTTTTAAGTGATAGTGATGGCGACAAAAAGAAAATTAAGTGTATTGTGGAATCATTTCGTTGAAGATGAAACTGGTAAACGAGCTAAGTGTAATTATTGTTTGCAGTACATAAGCATTTCTAGCGGGTCAGTTGGCAATCTAGGCAGGCACATCAAAAATAAACACCCCGCAATAATAGTAAGTGTAGAACGGCAAAGTATAGGAGAAACAGGTGGACAAAATCTTGAAAATATAGCGTCATCTTCAAATTTGAAACCAACTCAAGTGACAAATTCTGAAATCGACAAGCAAGTCATAAAAATGATTTCAAAAGGCCATCATGCTTTACGAATAGTGGAAGAGCCGGAATTCAAAAAGTTAATTAATATGGTTTCTCATTGTCCGGGGTATCAACTTCCAACAAGAACAACTTTGACCAATAATTTTTTAACGAATTCTTATAATGAATTAAGAAATAAATTAAAAGTGAAAATTGAAACAACAAGAGCGGTATGCCTAACAACGGATTCCTGGACTTCTAGGACCAATGAAAATTATATAGCTATCACGGCACATTACATAGATGAGCAAACCAATCTTTGCTCGTCTTTAATTGAATGTAAAAAATATAACCACACCCACACGGGTGAAAATCTGTGTAAAGTACTGAAGGAGACAATGGCAGAGTGGAACATTTCGTACAAAATTGTAGCTGTTGTCTCAGACAATGCCAGCAATATTTTAGCAGCTGTAAGGCTAGGTGGATGGCGATCTATTGGGTGTTTTGCGCATTCTTTAAATTTGGTGGTGCAAAAGGCTACCAAGGAAATTTCAGACGTCCTTGTTAAAGTTAAGGCTATTGTAGAATTTTTTAAAAGGAGTTGTCAAGCTCTACAAAGCTTACAAGACACGCAAAATCGAATGGGGTTGCCTTCTTTAAAATTAAAACAAGATGTACCAACGCGATGGAATTCAACCTTTGATATGTTGGATCGAATTTTAAAGTTAAAAGATGCGATAATAACTACTATCGCGCTCTTGAGAAGCGATCTTTCGCTAGATCAACTGGACTGGCAAATAATAGAGGAGGTAATACCCATTCTTAAACCATTTTACGAAGTTACTGCAGAAATAAGTTCTGAGAAGAATGTTACTTTATCAAAAGTAATAGTTTTCAATAAACTCCTACAAGGCTTCCTGGCAAAAACTTCACCCGTGCATGTAAAAGTAATTGCTTTACGGGATGTCTTGAAGCAACAAATGAACAAGCGATTTTGTGAAATAGAGAACAATGTGCTTTTTGCGGAGTGCACAGTATTAGATCCGCGATTTAAAAAGCTTGGTTTCAAAAATGAACAGGCCTTTGAAATAGCTGTACAAGGACTTAGAAATAAAGTCGGCCATGTAACAATACCTGATCCTGCTAAATCGCCATTAGCAGATGTTACGAACACTGCCAGTGCTGATGCTAATATTTCAAATAGTAGTATTTGGGACGATTATGACGATATCATTATAACAAAAACGACACCTGAAAATAAATTAGCCACTGGCATTAGAGAAGTTGACAAATATTTAAGCGAAGACTATTTAAATAGAAAAACAAATCCTTTGGAATGGTGGGAAGAGAGGAAACTTATATATCCACATATATATGCCTATCTGCTCAAGAGATTTTGTATTGTTGCTACATCTGTGCCATGCGAAAGAATATTTTCTGGCACAGAACAAATCATAAATGAAAGAAGAACTTTATTAAAATCAAAAAATGTGGAAAAATTAATATTTTTAAATCATAACTTATGAATTTTTTTTTTTTATTTTGTGTCGGTTGAAATTTCTTTATTGTTTTAGTTATGTTTTAAGAAATATATTTTGTTTTTAGGATTTTTTTTTAGAATTTTTGTTTTGTTTTTAGATGTATATTTTATTTTTAGAAATGCATTTTGTTTTTATTTAGGATTTTATTTGTTTATTTATTTTTGTTAGAAATTATTTTTTTTATTTAGGATTAATTATATTTTATTTTATTAGATATGTATTTTCTTTTTTATGTTTATTAAAAATGATTATGTTGAGTTGTATAACGTTTTTGTTTTATTAAAAAATATGTTACAAAGTAACAGTTACGAAATTCGGTTTGCAAACAATTACAAAATAACGGGTAAACATATCTTTACTATGAACGAACTAAAAGAACTAGTTCAGATAGGTTAAATGAACGAAAATGAGCGCTCTCTCAAAAGAACTAACCTTGACAACTCTACCGAACTGCTAATTCTAATAAAATTAAAATTTGACATTGACATCAGTACTTCATGCATATCTAAGATCAACAATAACTAGACTAGACAATAACCTAGGCATCGACAAAGATGAAAGAAGTATTACTTTAAACTAACAACAATATTGCAATACAATTATATTTGATCGTGAATATAATATATGTCCATGTTCCGTGAACATTAAAATAATAACATGTCAAATGATTGACCGATTATCTGATGGCCATATTTTGAAGTTGAAACATGTTGATGTTAAAATATACTTTATCTAGCTCTTATTTTTTGCTTAAAATGAGCATAAATTTATCTTTGTGTATAGAATAATTTAGATAATATAACTTTTTGCTTTTTTTTGAAATATCTTAAAAACAAAAGAGATAAAATCGCATACTAAACGTCTTTACATTGCAAATATATTCATATAAATGTTTTCCCATTTAACCGTTTTTCTATATTCTGTAGTTTTCAAGATCCCCATACATGTAAACCCAATTTACGCCACACTGCAAGTTAGAGATGCACAAATAGCGGCCCACGGGCCGCATGCGGCTCACTGTTAATATTTAAGCGGCGCGCCAACGAATTTTCATCATTGTAAGTCATACCATTTAAAAATTAAAAAAATTGTGTTAATAAGTATTGTTTTTAGTGGTCCGTCTTTGGCTTATAATTTTTCCGAGTGGTTCCCTATAAGTCTGTGCATCTCTGCTGTAAGTTATTGATCAATATTATTAAACACATTTTTTATTTCTATCTTAGATACACATGTGTTAATCATGTTCATATTCTATTAATTCAACACGTTTTATTAAAATTTATATACAATTCATGAAAAAATACTTATTATACTGGGTAACTGTAAATTTGTGACCTTTTTTTAATGGATTGCAAGACATTAATTGTTTGACATAAATCATGTACAAGTGGCTATAAAAAAGAATTTAGATGTTCTTGTCAGAAATTATTATTTTAGTGGACGCCATTAAATGACAGATCGCCAATAAACTAATTTTCAAAATTTATTGCCAATGTTAAAAAAAATCACAATCAGTGATAGTCACTCGGCATTTTTTTGAATCTAATAATTTTTATTTAATATTTGTATTCATAAACACTAAATATTCAATAAATAAAAATTATACACATACATAATACTGTTAAAAAAATGAACGCAACAATTATCTAAAAATATCAGTATATGGAAAAAGTGTTTTTAGTTTCATTAAAAAAGTGAATTTTTATAAAAAGTTTGCATCATTTGGAAATCCACATTCGTTATTTTTTTCTCTTTTTACTACAAAAATTACATTGAATTCAGCATATTTTTTAATCCCTAACAGTATTTTCGATTATTATTTTGCTCTATAATGAAATTTAAAAGTACTTCTTAGCATGAATCATTATTTTTTATTTTCTTGTAAAAATGCTAAAGATTTTACAAACTTAATTCTTGATTATTAAACTTTTTTTTGTGAAAATATGATTAAAATAATTTTCCATATTTTCTGACAACTATATAATAAATCTGAAATTTGATATTGTTGCGTTAATTTTGTCCAGTACTATAGATTCTTCAAAATGTAATGTTTGAAATTATTTATGTATATTTGTTGATTATTTCTACTATTTAGTGGCATAACTTAATTTTTTTTTCTTTCATTCTGTATAAAATGCAAATTTATTAATTTGTTAATTTACAATTTTCAGTAGAACATATTTTTTAATAATTTTATTCTCAATTAAATCATTAGTAATGTACTTTTTATTTTTCATACCACATATTTATTTTTTTTATTAATTTTCTTCTTATGTTACGCTGTGGATAGAGGTGGTCCAGAACTTTCTGTAACTGTTGATTGAGAATCCGATTCTTCTTTAATAGCCAGCCAGGGCAACCTTTTTTGTAATTCAAGTCTAAAAGTTTAAAAATATCGTATTAACTTACTTAATTTTCAGTAAAAATGGAGTAGATGTTATTTTAATGTAGAAACAAATTTTTGACACAATAATTATTTAAATTTTTGTTGGTTTTAAAATGGTTTGAAGAACAGTTACTGAAAAAATTAATGAACCATCCTTTATCATAATAAACAATGCTTCATATCACAGTACATTGCTACTTAAAACACCAAACGCTAGCTGGACAAAGATTAAAATACAAGAGTGGCTGATAAATCAGAATATTAGATTTTAATTTGCTATGTTTAAAGCGGAACTTCTGAATCTTGTTGCACAGTCAGTAAAAGAAATCTAATTCGTCAGTAATTTCTCAATTACTTTTTTTTAGAAATATATCACCAACAATGTACATAGCTGATCTTCTAGCAGAACAATACGGACATAAAATATTACGCCTCTCTCCTTATCATTGTACAATCAATTCAATTGAACTTATTTGGGGCATTACGAAGCAATATTACAATAGACATATTGGTTGAGATGGTAAAAAAAGAAGATTGTTTAAATATGTGGTCAGAACACTCCTGACCATAACACCACAAATTTGGAAAAAGTATCAGCCATATAGAAAGAGAAATTTCAAAATGGTACGATAGAGAGGGAATAATTGATAGAATAGAAAATGCTCCAATTATTATTACACCAAACAGCGATGATAGTGATTTCAGTAGCGATGAATCTGAATAACAATTTTAAGAGACGTCGAAAGAGACATTGTTACAATTATGATGATGATTTGGAGGTATTCTGTAAAATACACACTAATAATATAATCGATTGAAGTACTGTACTGTAATAATAATTGTATTCTTTACCTTTTATTATTTGTTAATATTTACTTTGTTATTTATATAGGAATTTTATACAGGGTGTCCCGAAATTAGACGGTCATATTTTAACAGCGTAATCTACATCCTAAAATAGGAGTAAAAGTTCATATAAACAAACATAGGTCCGAAAACGTTTCGTTTTCGAGATACAGGGTGTTACAAGTGAAGTCCGGATGGCACATTTTTGTAAATATTTTTTAAAATTTCTTTAGTCACCGGTTTTCCAAAGTTAAAAAAAAATAAAATTTTTGATTCCACAGGCCTACTAATTATTGTTTAGACTTTCAAAAAACTGATCATGAAATTTTCAAATGCTATTCTCTTGAAAATGGTGCGTCCTAGCGAAATGCAACAAATGTAGCTTTATTATAAATAAAATATTGGTTTTCCAAAATTTATAGTCAAAAATGTTAAAAACTGTTATCAAAAAAAACTTGGGTTAATTTTACCCTAAGCCCCCCTTAGTTTACCCACTTATGAACATGATCGATAACTGGGGTTTAGTCCATTAAATAGAGCGTAAAAAGGTAAGCATTTGTACCAAATTTCCCTTAGTTATCTTTAAAAGTTTAGAAAATATTTACAAAAGTGTGTCATCAGGACTTCACTTTTAACATCCTGTATCTCAAAAAAGAAACTTTTTCGGACCTATGTTTATATAAACTTTTATTCCTATTTTAGGATGTAGATTACGCTGTTAAAATATGACCGTCTAATTTCGGGACACCCTGTATAACTAACAAACTGTAAAATAAAAGTCGTTGTTTTGAAAAATATTTATGTTTTCATTTTTTGATGCCCAAATATTGTTCAGGTACCTAGTTAAAATAACTGAAATATTATAATAATGCTTCTACATGCTATATTAATATAATCCCATAAAACAAATTTTGATTTTATTTTTTAAAAACCTTACTCAACAGATGTTCTTAATAGAACATACTACTGACTGATATTTCTTATTGGCTAACATCACAACGATTCACAGCTGCTTTTCTTTTCTGTAGCTACAATTATTGGAACTTTCAAAGATTCCTCAATTATTTTCAAAATTTGGCAACGGTGTGGAGCTGTGACGGTCTAAAATTTATTACATCATCGATGACGTGCAATGGTTTTTATATTGTATGAAGTATAACATCGGTTTTAAACTATTTCAGTAACGTTGTTTTGAAACGGTGACGTCGATAGTAGATGAGATTAGCCAGTTCTGGACCAAGGTCACAGGTACAGAGAGAGGTAATTGAATAATTAGTAATTATCCTAAGTACCCACCCTTCGCGCAATTAGCAAGTACCTCCCAATTACTTACATGTACTGCAGTAAGTGTAATTGCATAGGAACTTGGACACCAATGCTTTTTAAATGGAAAACGTGTAGTTCACTTTGGACAGTAGAGTGCTGGTGTGGACATTTATGTAAAGATAGGACAAATATTGCTAATAATTTGTTATAAGGTAAAGTCAACATTGAACAATGAAAATAAAATATATTTCGTTTTAAAATTATATTTTTTAAAGTAACTGTATTAAGTATTTACAGTAACTCAATAAGTTTCAAAATTGTCTCTCTTTGAAGCTCAGCTTTTTTATTTAGGCCCATTTTCAGTAAACTTGTAATTAGTTTCTTTTTTCTAATTTGTTTTTCTTTGTAATTATTCATAATTTCAATTCCACGTCTGTTTTGTAAAATTGTCTCTGTTTTTTGTTAGCTTCTTCCCTCCGCTTTATTCCTTCGGCACCTCTATCACATCTACATATGGATTTATCATGAAATTCGTGTTCAGATGTGTAGTTTTCTAAGTCTTTTACACCTTCATATGCTAATTCTGAAATTTCTGTACGTACTAAGCAACACTGTTTTCCTCGGGAATGTAACCAATCTTGTTAGAATACTCTTCTATCGTAATGAGAATGAGGTGTACCTCTAAGACCATCTCCATCCCTTCTAAGCGGCTTTTGTCCATCAGCGCAGGTGATGCATCTGAGTACATGGTCCAAGCAAATTATTTTCTTGAAAGTCGTTTTTGAATGGAGTCGTGTACCAGTGCGCTGTAGTTTTTTCTTGTAGGCTAACATTGTGAATCCATTAGTAAAATGTATTAAAGCATGAAGATGTTCATGTGCTGTACTACCATCGTCTGCTATTAGATGACATCGACAAATAGAATATCATTTAATATTTGGAGCACAAGCAAGTAAATTAAAGTCTTTTTCATTTAATATTTGTCCTATTTTTACTTAAATGTCCACACCAGCACTCTACTGTCCAGAGTGAACTACACGTTTTCCATTTATTGGTGTCCAAGATCCTATGGCGGTTGAGAGTCAAGGATGTGTTTAGACATAGACTTATTTTTCCTATGCCATAATAGTAATCACTGAGATGTATTTAGACTAAACTCATTATATGATATACATAGTAATTACTATCTAAGAGGTACTTACACTTCGATGGGTACTTACTATGCTCGTACACATTACATAGTAAATACTCTCTGAGAGGTACTAACACCCCTGAGAGGTACTTACACCTCTAGGTATATGGGGTAATGAGAGGTGTCTACACTACGCAATTACACTTATTACAGTACATGATAGTAATTGGGAGGTACTTGCTAATTGCGCGAAGAGTGGGGGTGGGTACTTAGGATAATTACTAATTACCCAATTATCTCTCTCTGTACCTCTGACCTTGGTCCAGAACTGGCTAATCTTATCTACTGTCGATAGTATCTTCTCTATCTGAGTTCTTTCTATTAAAGAAGGCTCTATCTATAAGGTTAAACAAAAAAATAAAAGAAATAGCTAAAAACGTGATGGTATACTGTTTTTTCTTAATAGAGGAAAATAACACAAAATATAATGTGTAAGATAAATATATACGTTGCCAATCTTGCTTAAAACCAAGGGCGTCGATAAATTTTATTCTTGGGGGGGGTAAAATATTTTTGCTGTAGATAATGAAAAAAAATCATTCTGTAATAAAGTAAAAACATATATTTACAAACAAAACAAAACTTCTTTGGACAAAAAAACACAAATCAAACAATCCTAAAATAAATGTCTATTATATAAAAAAAACAACACTAACATTCCTTGGCAAGTACTTAGTAAAAAACAGGATATATTTATAAAATCAAATCTATATGCCTCTTTTTAATTTTGGCAAATCTATCTAGAACAGCATCTATGTTTAAATCTATGTCTCTATGAATATGTAGCAGTGCTAAGGCCACTAACCTTTCTTGGCCCATGGTTGACCTAAGCCACGTTTTCAACCTTTTAAGAGTTGAAAAACTTCTTTCGGAGCTTGCTACACTCACAGGCATGGTAGAGATTAAATACAGAGCCAAGTACACATTTGGATAAATATCCTTATCGCAAAGCTGTAAAGCAGATATGGCCGAACTAGAAAGATTTTCATCAGGGACAGTTACCCATTTTTTAAACCAAAGTTCCAACTCGGCATTTAAGAGAGACAATAAAAAATCTTTGCTTTCGTTCGTGAAATTTGATAAATATTCTGCTACGTTTTCTTTTATTAAAGAACAATCCATATTCATATCCAATTTGATATTTGATGGAATTAAACTATTTATATTAAGAATTTTGTACAATTCATTATGAAATCGAAATGTAAGATCTTCAATCACGTTGTCTAAAAGAGGAATAAAAATACTTCTTTTGAAGTATTCTTCAATAGAATCTCCTGGAGTATTAACTCGATGTTTTTGCCTTAGGGTAATTCGAGGCATCATCAAATTTAAGTTCATTTTTTTGTGAAGATTTTCTACGTCTTTAAATATCCCGGAAAAACAAGATTCAACATTTTTCTTTTTTCATTTAGTAAAGAAAGAATATCGTTAACTAAGGTCTGTGCTTTATTTTTGTCAAGTGATTTGGTTTGTAAGAGTTTGCTTAGGCTATTCGTTAAACTTAGAAAATAAGACAAGCAGTGTAAAGATATCATAAATTGTGTTGTTAAAAGAGAATCTACGAACGAACGTGCTTTGGATGAACTGTCTTTATCATTCCACTGGGCAATTAATTCCAAAGTTTCAATTATCTTCTCAAAGCATGATTGAAATCTTAATACGGCATCATGGCGCTCGGCCCAACGAGT